AGCGTTGTCTAAGTATCGAAGTATCTGTATCTTAAGCTGTATATGCATCTGTATCTCTTTTTAGTATTTTTAGCGTTATAGAATCCATTTGTAAATGCATCTTATGCTGTTTCTACAGCTGTATTTGTATCTTTATCTTTATCTTCTTTTGTTGTATCTTTTGCGCTGTATCTTCGTCTAAATTGTATCTGCAACTGTTAAAGTGAATTTTATTGCTGGGCAAAAGATTTGCTTTTGCTCTTTTGCTTCGCATGTTTCAAATTTGAATTTGAAAACCTTAGAAAACTGAAGGGTGTGCATGACTAGCATATATCCTGCAATTTCAGGCTGTTTCTAGAGCAGACAATGACTTCTCAACTTACTCTGCTCCCTCTACTCCCACTTAGATATCGTTAGCGGAGCTTTCTTCCTCTTCCTTTCGCCTTTCACTTGCAGGTAATATACCCGTCTTCACACTACTCATACAGGGTATGGACAAACAACAAGCATCAACGATTTATACGTTGCGAGCGTAGTTCGCTTCAGCATCACGTTTCCTTTTTTATTGCCTGTTGTTTCCCGCTGGCTCTTCCTTTTGCTTTATTTTATTTTTATTAAGTATCACAGTCGCCGTTGTTGTTGCTTTTCTTCTTCTTCTCTGTTGTAACATTGTTGTTGTTGTTCTTATTTAATGATTTAAAGATTATGCACGCTCTGCCGGACACACGGACGGACACTCGTCTGCCCTTTTTTATGGAAGGGACGCAACAAAAAGGGCCTCAACTTCAGTTTTTCAACTCCTGACAAAACTTTCGCTTTTTTACACCTTTTGCCACCTTTTCGCGCTCTCTCTCTCTCTGGCACACTCTCTGGCATAATGAAAAAATTGTGTAAGAGCATGTTAATTTGAAGCGAAGGTTGAAGGCGTTAAAATTGCAGATAAAACGTCGCGGTTTGCCGGCTTCAAAGATTCGTTTTGTTAGCCCAGCGAGATTCGGGCAGTGATTTGACGTGACTCAGTGTGGCTGTGTGTAAGTGTGTGTGTGTGTGTGGGTGTGGGTGTGTGGGTGTGTAGGCTTGTAGTAAACTGTTACAGTTAGAACTTTGTGTATATAGAACGACAGAGATATTTGCTTAAGCGTTTCATTATGCAAAGTAAATAATTCATAAGCAACTTTTTTATACAAATTTGAATTCACTTGATGGACTTTGGTTGCGGCAAAAAAGAGACACGAAGATTGTCGTCTACTGGAGAATACTCTGTAAGAATGTGCAAAATATCTCAGCTTACTTTGTGGACTAGGAATCAGCTCCAGCCAAACTCTGTTTAGATTATATCGAAATGAATCTATTTGACTCTATGGTTAAAAGGAAAGTCGTCTGGTATAGCAAAAGCAGAAACAGCTCAGGGTTTCGAGCTATAAACTGAGAATGCTTCTCAAACTGTAATCTCAGCATATACAAATTTCAGTACAGCCGTTCAGAGAGATAGATTAGCAAGCAATCTTGACTCTTCTATCAAACCAATATACCCACTTCAAAGTCCCAAGTAAGCAGCGTATTCAATATGCATTTTTTATATCACATTGATGCCCATTTGCAGCTGATGGAGCACAGATACAAATTGAGTAAACAAATCATCTCGAATGACGCACAACAGCAACAACAATGAAAACAATGAAAACATTTGAACCCATTTTTAATGCACATTTAACGTCATAAATATGCAACGATTATAGCTGAGGGAGACACGCCTTGGGAGACTCTAATTTGGTTCTGGAAACAATGATGACAAACAATCAGCACAACTGTTTGGCCTGACATAGTTTTGCAATTAGACAATAAATAAAAACACAATTAAAGTTGAGCAACACGATTTGCTCTTGACTTCGACTGGCAACTCAAACGCCAAATGTCAAATGTTTTACTGAAGCTGCGATAGCTGTTTAAGCATGTCTTTATAAGGGGCGGAGAGAATTCTCGAGAATCGAGTCAGAATTATCCAGCCAAATACAGATCAGACAGACATATAGATATGGATGATTCAGTTAGAATCAAACAGATTCCTGATGCAGATACAGATACATTGCGAGATATAAATTCATTCATGGACACAGATACATTTCAGAGATTCCGGATCAGATTGAGATACATTCCTAGATACATTCAGTGATTCATTTGAAGATATATTTACACAAACGTAGATACAGATACCTCAACGGACTCAGATACATTCAAAGATACAGATACATTAAGAGATATAGATACAGATACATTCATAGATTGAGATACATTGTTTGTATATCGATGCAGATGCAGATACATTCATATATCCCATATCACATTGATTTTCAGATACACAAACTGATGCAGATACAGTCACAGATACAGATACAAACACAGCTGCAGATAGAATTGAAATTTTTTGTGCAGTCGTGTGAAAAACTGGCTTTGCGCTTCTCGATTCTCGAGCGAACTATAGATAAATATTTATAGTAATAAATGCGTGGGAAAAATAATAATAGCCATATCCAGCCATATCTATAGATATATAGTATATACATATACATATATATATATGGTATATAGTATATATATATATATATGGTATATAGTATATATGATATAGCACGATATGTAGCTCTATCTCTCTCTCTCTCTCTCTTTGTTTTTCTTGAAATAACAAGTACTGTAAAAATCGCCAGTCAGCGAGAACAAAAGCCCCACAAAGCACACACAAAAAGCACACACACTCACACACACACACTCACACGCACACACCTATTTTATACATTATTTTCGTACCTGGACAAAACTGTGATTTAAGATCTGCAATTAGAGATAAAGCAAAACTCATTATAATCAAAATGAGTTATAGAAAGGACTGACAGACAGACGGACAAAAAATTGTAGGCTACAAAGAGACTTTACACTGTGAGAAAAAAAACAAGAATAATAAATTGAAATGGGAAAACAATCTAAGAAAATTCACAGACAATGGAAAATTTGAGTTAGACAAACAAATTTAATAAAAGAAAACCTTATAAAATGAGCGATAGAAAGAAACAGAGAGAGAGGTCGACAGAGACAGAGAGGGAGAGCAATATAATTGAGTAGAAGATAGTTCGAGCTAATGTGACTTTTAGAGCGATTTCTTATACAATACAATAACTGAAAACTTTGAATTATTAAATTGAGATTTTTGTTTAATTGTACGTCACTTTTTCTCGCTGTGTAGCCCAAAATTAAAAGAAATAAGTATAGGGTAAATAATTAAAAGACTAGGCCTGAACTCTTGACATCAGCTTCAAATTAGAGTTCATGTTTCTGTTTTCCATTTCTTGGAAACGCTGTCAACGCCAAGAGATTTAAGACCAAAAAACGAAACAAGAAGAAGACGAATCCAACTTAGTCAGGGTTGTTACTAGGCCTGGTTTTTTTTGTTTGGGGGTTTTAGAGCTGAGGCTCAAATCATGGAAGAAATTTGTTACTGACATTAAAATTACCATCATTATAATGTCTGTTTGTCTGTCGCTTTGTCTCTCTGTCTCTCTCTCCGCCTGTTCCTCTCTCTCTATCTGTCTCTCTTTTTCTACTTCATTGGTCGGCCATGGGCGACGTCTAACACGAAGCAGGAAGACACTTGGCAAAAAGCGATGTGCGGTAATACAAAATGTCGAAATAGACAAAAGCAACAACAACAAGCAACAAGCAACAAGCAACAACAACAACGAACAACAAATAACAACAATTTGGGCTCTGCAAAACCAAAGAAGAAAACATGAAACATGATAAAGTGAGAAGTTTCTGATAGGAAAACAAGTGTAGCACACGCATCGTATACCCTGCAATTGTGGTTGCTTGTAGAAAAGTATGAACTACGTCACATTCAATTCGTAACTTATGTAACTTATGTTTTACCATGCAACAAAATGGAAATACAAGTAAACATTTAAAGCTTACGTCAAAGTGAACTGGATGTGAAACACTCTTACGTAACATCCTGTTACGTGTGTTACGTAATGTAAGTTAAATTTCACGATATGTGAAAAAGGAAATGCAACCGAATATTTGATGCTTACGTAAAAATAAACTGGAAATGAAAACCTATTTACGTAGCATACTGTTGCCTGACGTAATGCGTCACGTAACGTAATGCACCTATTATAAGTATATTTATATATCGAAGAAATTCAATTCATTTGCGTAACAGTTTAACGTCACGTAAGGCGACACATAAAATCAGAATTTATGCCTCTTGCTCTTTGCAGCTAAACAGTTTAAATTGATTGGGAATTACACTCAGCCTTCGCCTGAGCGCCTAGCACATATGACCCCATTGGCAAACACTTTTAACAGGGTATAGCATGAAACACGAGCGCTTGAATGGAATTGAAAATGGGCTTTGGTTGTGATCGATGATGCCAGAGGTGAGAGTTGAAGCCGAAGCTGAAGCTGATGGATAGCCAAGCAAACGAACAGAGAGACAGATGGAACTGGAACTGGAACTGGAACTGGAACTGGGATGAGAGCTGAATCTGGAGCTAATGTAACAGACAGCCTAATCGACCTGCGTACAGTTAGAGCTGCGGTTAGTGGAACTGAAACTGGAACCGAAACTGGATCTGGAACTGGAACCGGAACTGTGAGTCAAACTTGTAGAGAAACTGGCAATGAAACTGAAGATAGCGCTGATAGAGAGTTTACCAGACAATGAAAGTCAGGCGGAACTGGAACTGGAACTTATAGTGGAACTTGCGCCGATGGTGCAACTGGAACTTAAGGTGTAATTAGATGTTTTAAGTTGAGCTTCACAGACTAAAAGATATATGTTGAATAAGAATGGTTCCTGGAACTGGAACTGCAACTAGTCGCGAGCTACAACTGAAACTGTAGCTCAGGTTGACTAGACTGACCTAAAGCTAAAGCTGGAACTAAACCTGAATCAGAACTGGAACAAAATCTAAAACTGGCAAACTGAGATTTGATCTGAAAATGGAACTAGTTCGTTTGACACTCACCTGCGCATGATGGGCAGCGGCAAGGTGAATCGTCCGTCGCTCATTAGAGGCGCTGCTCCTGGCAGTGGCACCGTCGATATCACTGGCGTTAGCAGCGGCACAGGTGGAGGAGGCGGAGGCGGGGGCAGTGGCAGTGGCAGCACAGCTGCTGCTGCGCTTGATTGTGGGCCGGCGGCAGACAGAGGCGGCGGCGGCACTGCGCCACCTGGCAGCGTGCTGTAGGGCGGCGGATAGTGGGCGTGGCTATGCAAAATGTCCGGCAACAAAGCACGAGCCAAGCCCAAAGCAGCGGGATGCGGATGTGGATGCGGATGTGGATGCTGATGAGGATGTGGATGCGGATGCGGATGTTGCAAGTGTGGCGGTCGACGCACGTGCGTAGGCGGCAACTGTTGCTGCTGTAATTGCAATTGCTGCTGCTGCTGCTGGCGACGTTCGCGGCGCTCGCGCCGACGTTGCTCGCGTGTGCGCAACTGTTGCTGCTGCTGCTGCTGCTGTGATTGCAACTGCAACTGTTGTTGTTGTTGCTCCAAATTGTTGTTGTTGTTGTTGTTGATGTTGCTGTTGTTGCTTCTGCTGCTGTTGCTGTTGCTGCTTAGATCATCCGTTTGGCATTCGGTCGAGGTGAAAGTGCGTGTTGCTGTGGGCGTGGCATTCACATTAATCACCTGTACACTGTTATCAACACTGGACACATTCACGTTTTCATTATCATTATTATTATTATTATTATTATTATTTTTATTATTATTATTAATATTTAACTTATTTTGTACACTTGCACTAAACACTTTTTTGGTTGCTGGCACACAATTATTATTGATGGCAACAATGCTGTTGTTGTTGTTGTTGTTGTTGTTGCTGCTGCTGCTGCTGCTACTGCCGCTGCTATAATTGCAATTGACAACACAAACAACATTATTGTTGTTGTTGCTGCTAGACTCTGCAGTCGATGTTGCTGCTGTCGCAGTCGCTATCTGCTGATTGTTGTTGTTGCTGCTGTTGTTGTTGTTCACCTGTATTGTGAGACTTGGCTGTTGCTGACAGAATTTGCTAGCAGTTGGCAGTATTGCAATATTGCAAATGCCTTTGGCATTGCTGTTGCTGTTGCTGTTATTGCTAAGAAAAATGCTGCTGCTGCTGCTGCTGCTGGCAGCAACTGTTGCTGTTTGCGTTGCTGCCGTTGCTGTTGGCGGCTCTGCAGCCACATTCAAACGCATCGTCTCGCTAGCGATAGCTCTTGTGTTATCGTTATCGTTATCGGTATCGGTATCGTTGAGACGATGCTCAAATAAACTTTCACTTGCACGAAATTCGGCATACAAACGTTCGAGTTCTGCCAAACATTTGTTGGGGCGCAGTGCGTCGCAGCTCGAATTGCTGCTGTTTCTGTTGTTATTGTTGTTGTTGTTGCGCCCCCTCGACAACCACGACGACAACTTTTGAATGTTGTTGCTGTTGTTGTAGCTGCTGTGATTTTTGTTAGTATAATAATTGACGCTACTCTGCACTTCTGTCGCGCACGCGCCGAACGTACTCGAGAGACTGATCGTCGCTGCCGAACGAAACTGGCTTGAGCAGCCACTGGAAGAGAGCAACGCTGCCGACGTCGCTGCTACTGTCGTCGCTCTCTCAGCTGCTGTTGCGTGCTCTCTTTGGCAGCGACTGCGACTACGACTGCGACTGCGGTTGTGGTCGCGACTGCGTTGGGTTGCTGCTGCACAGGAAACAGGTTGATTGACCTGCACTCCGACTGCTACGTCGACGTCGACTTCAACTTCGCCGACTGCAACTGTGCCTGTTTCCTCGTCTACTCTTTCTACTGCCGTTGCCATTTCTCGCTCATCGCCTTTGTCGTCGCCGTTGTCTGCTTTGTCGCCGTTTTCATTGATAATGCAATTCGCTTTGCTGTCGCTTTGATTTTCTGCACTTTGTTGTGATCTTGCATTCGTCGCTGTTGTTCGCATTTTCTTTTGACTCATTGCCGTTATTGCTGTTTCAGTTTCTGTGTCGTTTATCGCAGGCGCGAATAATGCGCAGTTCTGCAAACAGAGAAGGAGAGAGAATGTGAGAAAGGGAGAGAAAGAGAGAAACCTGTCAGCTTTTCATTAATCAAGCGACAAGATTTAAGTTTCAAGCGCTAATTAATGTTAATTGCAGAGGGATTAGCCAGTGGCCCCAAAAAAATGAGAAAGGTGACAGCAGCCACAAGGACAGCAAGCAGCAATTGCCAGGGCCAGGCAGGCGCATAAATGCGCGCCTAATTGAATTAATTAAGCCAACGCATAAACATAAAATCGTCACAAGTAATTGTTGTTGTTATTCCTGCCTGGCGTCTGCATGTTTGCTGATAAAGTTATTGCTGCCTGTTCTCATTGTTGTTGCTGTTGTATGACTTACTCTCCTCTAATGGATGGTTGCCCGCACACACACACAAGCTCAGCCCCTCGCTCTCTCTCTCTTACTTCCATCTTTTTATGTCTGGCTTAGTGTCAGAGATGAGCGTTTAGCCTGCGTTTTGTGTGACTTATCGCGCTTCAACCTATTTTAATCTTGCTCTGGTTTGCATATGCAACATACTCCAACTGCTCAATTTGAAGCTAATGCCGCTGCCATAAATTATTAGACTCCGTTCACACACAGACACACACACACATTTACTCCCTCACTATTACTCTCCACGTCTAGCTCAATGTGAGAGATACGCACTTAGCGTTTTTTTGTGTTACACATCGCGGCTTTGTTTGCTAAGACTTGATGTGTTTTGCTTCAACAAACGTTCGATTTTAAGGCTGTAATAATAATGTATATGACTACAGCTCTTACTTTTTTACTTGCCTTTATACACACATGTATAACCTGCCTCTGTCTACCAGGCTTAGTTTCAGAGTGGCTTATTTAGAATTTTCTTTGTTTTGCATATGCAACAACCCTACTTTTAGCTTAATGGCTGATTTTATAATTTATAAGAGTAGCAGATGCGCTCATCTCCAATCAGTGCACAATACCAAAAGCTAAAGCGACCCCAAATACGACATGATGTGAGCGCCGTATAACAGTTAGTGCGTGTGCCTAGCTGTATAAGTGTGTGTGTGTGTGTGCGGGTTCTAATTATGTTACGCTGTGTTACTTGCATTAATTACGTCACAGAAATATAATGTGATTTACTGTTAGCTCAACTACTGCTGCTGCTTCTGCAGTTGACTTATTGTTCTAGCTGCTGTTGGCTTTGTCATTGTTTTTGGTGCTGTTCATTCTTGTGCAATTGCGATTGCTGCTGATTGCTGCAGCCCGCCTCCGCCCAAAAACGCCCCAAGTCCCCAAATCTAACGGTGTCTGGCTGCAAGTCAACTTTCATAATAAATGTCTAGTCATGTTTTTTTTCTGTTATATGCACATGGCTAATTTTGGAGGTTATGTGACAGAGTGGCCTGCACTTAAAACTGGTTTTAATGTGGTTGTTCTTTTCGCAACTGGCGACGGAGCGGGGGGCTTGGTTAAGGGGCATAGTTATCTAGTGTGCAACCCCCTTGAACATTGTAAATCGATTGCAACCCCTAACTCCCTCGGCTCGCTCAATTATGACAACGACTACCCTGCACTATATTTATCTATATCATAAATATGGAAGGCCGCATATGGCACAGCTGCACTGTGAGAAAAGGTGGGCTAACAATATTTTATTAAATTAAAATTGATTTTAATTTTTATTTTACGAAAGCTCTTAATGCTTGGTTCATTAGTTAATCATATTTATATATATATATATATATATAAATAAATATATATATATATATATATATATATATATATATATATATATATATATATTTATTTTATCATATATATTTTCAGTTATTTTTTATCCATTCCTTTCTTATTTTTTTTAAATTATTAATTAATTTTATTATTATTTTTTAGTTTTTTAATTTTTCTCAGTGCATGCATGCACTGCAAATATGTCATTTAGTTAAATACATTTACAGTGTTTTCTCCTTCTGTATTTTGCCTTTGTTCGCTCTATCTTCTCTCTGTTCATTGCTTTGTGGTCAATTTTCCATTTCGCTGACAACAAAATAAAAACAAAGACAAATTATGATAGGAACCGCAATGCGAGAAGTGAGGGAGCGCGAGAGACAGAACCAGAGTGAGAGAGAAAAATGCATAAATTTTAAATGCATATTTACGCGCTGTATTGTAGGCTCTTCACTCAGCCCTTCCGCCTAACGGCACCCGCAGAACACAGCACGCAGCCCACAGCACATCGCCTGGTATCGATATCGATACCAATTACGCTGAATGCGACAGCTGGCGCTCTATTATCGAAGACGCGGGTCGGCACTCAAGTGCCTAAGTGAAACATTAGCCCTTATCCGAGGCGCAGTAGCTGTCAATGGGGGGTTCGATAATGGAGTTCCATACCCTGCACCCATCCTCCCCTATCACCGTGCCCATTTGCTAGGCATCAGCCTTGACATCAAATTTGATGGCGCCACATTTAGAGTCGAAGTGCGTCGAACGAGCCAAGGTGACAATTTTATGAGGCGCCTAGGCGAGCAGACAGGCAGACAGCCACCAGAGTTGCCATTGTCATCCATAAATTGAACAATAGATAATAATATATATAAACAGCTATAAAGTCGAACAGAGTTCTGTTCATGTTTCGTATATTGAGAAAGAGCATAAGGGAAAACTGTATTTCAGAAGATATCAATGTTGTATATAGTAGATCCATATCAATACATATTACATATTAAATACATATTACATTCATACATATATATGATACTCGTCCTTTCTCGCAAAAAGCTCTTTATCAAGCCTCATTATTGATGTTGTGGGTCAGTGTTTGCTTTTATTAATATATTAATCGATATTTATCGCAGTACTTACCTGCGATATATAGTCGTCCGTGAAAGAGCGCACCAGGCGCTCAGCTGGAACATTTGCCGTTAGTTTCTTTGATCGATCTTCATCGTCTTCGACGTCATCTTCATTCGCATCTTCTTGGATTTCTTTTGCTAGGGATCGTTGCGATCTATCACATTGTAGACTGTAGTTTGTCGGCAGATGGACGACGGCTGCCAGGCTAGCCCTGGCCACGCCCACGCCGGACACGCCCGGCTGGTAGAGGGAATCATAAGAGGGCGGCTCCTTGATCGTGGTTGCCGTCGAGGAACACCATTGGATGAGCGTATGCGCTGGACTGCCATAATAGCTAGGATATGAGTAGCGATTGCGATGGCTCGTCTTATTGAAAGTGGAAAAAGGCACGGGAGGAGCAGCGGCTACAGGTGGTGCAGCAGGTGGAGCAATGGCAATTGCTGTTAGGTGGCTTCTCGTCTCGTAGCTGCTGTGGGACTTGCGCAACTTGCGATTAAGGCGCTCATCGTCGTCGTCCGCCGCCGCCCCCTCGTCATCCTCCTCCGACGTGGAGCTGGCTGCCCGCTCGTAGGGCGTCCATAGCATTGATGAGAGCGCCGCCTCCACATCCGGCGGTCGCTGCAGCCGATGTGTGGGCGTTGGCGTGGCCGTTGCCTCCAAAGTGGGCGTGTTCCGTTCCATGTGGGACATGTCAGCCGAGTGGACATTGCGCTCACAACTTGAACAGCTCCTTGCGCCGAGCCGTGTCTATGGTCAGCCGCATGCTGCGCCTCGACTCCAGACTCTAAAATCGAGAGAAATCTAACTGTAAAACTGTACTCAAAATCCCAACTGTAAATTGTTGTTCAAAAACTCGGTTACCTCAGCGCATTTGTGCAGGCAAATTAAGACGCTGCACAGTGGGCAAAAATGTAACAAATAAAAATTAACTACAAAATGATCAACTTTATTGAATTAATTTATATTTTAATTAGATAACTTTTTAATTTACAATTTTATGTGTGCAGAATATTTGTTACCAAAACACATAATAACATTTTTATGCAATTTTTTAAAAAGTTTCATAAATTTAAAAAATATATAAATAAAAAATTTAACAAATGTAAATAAACTATAATATAGTAAAGTCAATTAAATTAATTTAAATTTAAATTAAATAATTTTTTTATAAAGAGGAGTACGCCCTGACTTTTCCTACAAAAATTTGCTTACATATTTTAATTTACAATTTTGTGATCTTGCCCACTGTGCGCATTGGCCGCAAGAAAAAACTTTAAGAGCGAGCCCTTTTATTTTCCAATTTGATAAATTGCGATTAAAGCATTTAAAAATGCCAAAAGCAAAAAAAAAGTCGAAAATAAAATGTGGGAAAATGGGAAATGGGAAACGAGACACGAGACAGGAGAAGAAAAACAAGCTTCCGTTTCTGTGGCCAAAATATATGCAGTAAAGTTTGCGAACCAAAAACTTTTTGGCAGCCTTCCCATTTGCCCCGAAGGGCTGTAGGCGTGGCACGCACACACACAGAGATAGCTGGAAATAGTTATATACATCTATAGATAGGCTGTAGTCTGATTCGGTTATTCGCATTAGAAAAAAGTTTAAAGTCGACTGCCAATTCAACTGAGCGAATGTGGCCCAGACATGGAAATACGGAAATACGGAAATACTTGTTCCACGGACGTCACTTGAAGCTCCCTCGGCTGTTGTTGGCTGTAGATGCAACATGAGCAGGCGACGTTCATGTGGCGCATATTGAAATCTATTTCTATTAGAAATCGAGCAAGTCTAGCCTAAGTTGTTAGTCAGGAGTGCTGCTGACGTAAGTGCCCGACTAGGAGATACCCTGAACCTCATGCAGAGCTGCTTTTTCAATCACTCTGAGCTTCTTTTAATCGAATTGTGTATAGCACTTATTGAGAAACAGAAACACAAACGCAGCAGAATTTCAATTTGAATTTGAACCGAATTCAACTAATTCAGCAATCTCAGCACGTATTCCCATTCGACTAGACTTAATGCTGACATATGTTGACGACAAGAATCGAAAGAAAATGCCTAATGCCTAATCTACTGAGAGTAGCTCAGCGTCGAGGCACTTATCCTGCCAAGGGGCAGCGTGCAAACCTATTAGCAGGGACAACAGCCCACTGAAAACTCCAAGTATAACCACAACTACAACTACAACTTCTGATTCTGAGCTTCAACTACAACGGCGATTCGAGTCGACTTCGGGTGTTGCGTCATGCTGCTGTTGCTGCTGCTAAAGTTTTATGTGTTGCATATCCTAAGGCGCTGTGCTGCTCTAATTTTTTATACCCGTCGAACCATTGAAAGTGTTTAAGTAGAGTATATTGGTTCGCTCTTGTTATGTGGCAGGCAGGTATTAAATTATTATAGCAGAGTTTATAAGAGCACTCTCTTCAGTACGTCTACGATAAGTAATATGAAAACAAGAGAGAAGGTATAAGAATTATACTTTATATCAATCCATCGTTCAATTCAGTCCATTCCCCGGAAATCGATAAATATCGATATCAAAACCTCAGCTAATTCGGCAGCTCTCGACAGCGTAATTGGCTTATACGCTGATCCACTCTGGCTACAGAGTATCTCGCAGCCGCACACCCATTTGACTTGTTTTTTGCTCGCCAATTCTCATGTTGCCTTTTTTTGGGGTGCACGGCTAGTGCCTGGTCGCCCAGTTGAAGCTGATGTTTTTGTTATGCTTAAATAAAGATTTGTGTTAGTGTGCTTCATTCTGTGGCAGCAGCAATTGTTGCTGTTGTAGCGGCAATTGTTGCTGTGCATTGCTGGCCTTCATTGTTGTCATTGCCCATTGTTGTCCCCAAAGAAAGGAGAGCCACAGCCAAAAGACAGCACAAAAGGCGGCCACAAATTAATATCATGTGCAACAATTGTTCAGCTGTGTGTAGGTGTGTGTTGGTGTGTGTGTGAGAGTCTTGTTATGTGCATGTTACCTACTTTTTGTGAGCTTTTAATTAACAACAAGTTTGCGCCTCGCACAATGCAAACAAAGTGCCAAAAGCCAAAGCCAAAGCCAAAGCCTTGAAATTCTCACAATTTTCCACAATTTCCACAATTTTTCCCCATGCGCCATTTTCTTTGTGCCCATTTTTAGCAGCCAGCTAAAGAGAAGCACAAGAAGAAGAAGAAGAGCAAAAGCGAGTGCTTCAAATATTATGAAATAATGCCGAGGCTTTAGCTGCGCTTTATATACAGATTATGTGCGGAAATACCCTTTAAAGCGCGTGTGGCTGTAGCTGGATGTAAATTAAATTGGGAATTAACTTGGCTTTCGGTTACACTGAGCGAAACAGAAATGGGCGCTACTTCGAGTGTTTGAATAACGTTGGAATTTATTCGAGAATTTTGAATTAATTTGGGGAACTTGAGCACAATTTTATATGTAAATTGCATAAATTCTAAATTAACTCTAAATATATTATTAGCCCACACTTAGCGAAACTAGGTGTAACCATTTCAAGAGGAATCAATTCATTTTGCTATAACTTCAATCTCATAATTTTAACATACACTTAGCGAAAAGGAGTTACAACTTTTCACTGAGAATTTCATATATAAAGACTTAAAAGACTCTATTTAAGCTGCTTCATAATTAATTTATGTAATTTAATTACTTTTGCACTCACTTTGTGTACTTATTTTCATAATTCTAACTTAATTTATACTTTATTTTTAGAGCGGCGAATCCAATCAATATAAAAAAGCATAAATTATGAAAAGTGCGGGAATACCCATACTCTCGCTGCTTATTAGGAAAAATGTCTCTGAACTGCCCTGCCCCTAGCCGTCAGCGCCAGTTCACAGTTCGCTCGCTGTCAACGGAAAATTTCAACACATTTTCAACTAGAAGAAATTTGTGTTCGCTAAAAAGACTTTCGAGCGGCGACGCCGTGAAATTAATGCGGGGAAATCATAAAAGCAAATAAGAAAAGCTGAGGGAAAATGTAAAAGAAAATCAAATACAAATATTTCAAGGCAAAGTTCTGTCTGGCGAAAACTCGACGACTTCAAATATCGCGCAAATGAGCAAAAAATAAAAAATAAATAAATAAAAAATATATTCAACGAAAATTATTTACGTAAATAAATTTTTTTTATTTGCCATTTTTTTCTTCTATTTGACTTGATGTGCGTCCGTCAATCAGACGCGGGCGACGGCCCCAAAACTTTTTTGCTCACAAGCAAAAGCACTGAAAGAAGTTGCTGCCACATTTTGGGGCAAACAGGGAGCCGTATTTGATGCCAGTATGTTTGTGATGCAAACAAACTTTATCTAATTAGGGCAAGCACGTGTTACCATTACCTAGGCACCTTTGACTATTCTTGCTTAACCTGCAGGTCTTCTATGCGATTCTCAGCAGAGAACTTCAAACTGAGGTCGAAGCAGATCTAGTTTAGAGTCTCTAGAGTCTCTAGAATCTCTGCGAATCTCATAATAGTTAATTTGCTTATGGAACGCCAACTCGAATTCCTTTTCAAGCTTAATCTTGCTTAATTCTCAACACAGTCGAATTATGTCCAATAACCAATTGGACAATCAACTTGGCTTCTCCGCTTTACACTGCGATTCTCAACATCTAGACCATTTAAACTATTCTTCAGCTCTTCTATGCGATTCTCATAGTAGCTAGTCATCACCTCTAAGTCAACTTTTGTCTAGCCTCTTCAGCAGCCTTTCTCATCAAAGTCATCTTCGTTTACATTCTGAACAGCATCAAGCCTACCACGCTCTTCTCTGCGCATCTCATCATAGCCAATCTGCTCGTAGCACGTTGAATCTCACTCCCAAGCTGAGCAACATCTTCATCTTGTGAGCTGCTTTGCATTGATGACACACTCGAAACGCCTTTTGATGTCCCACAGTCAGTCAAATCGCCCCCTCCAATTCCCCCATTTCCCATACTTGTTTTGCATTTGCCAGCTCAACATATTCGTAGGCGTGTAGCTTCCTGTTTCGTAGACTCCAACTACCACTTTCCTGCTTTCGATGCTGCTGCTGCTGCTCTGCCTGTCAACTGGCTGTCAAGCCGTGGCATCTGCCTCTGCTCTGAGTTCTGTGAGTGTCGCGTGTCGAGTGCCTTTTGAGTTGTTTGTCAATATGTAGACCATTATTCAATCAATATATTGACACACATTTTCATTTGCCAACCTACCTCCATCTCTCTCTCTCTCTCTCTCTCTCTCTCTCATTGCCCTAGAGCAAAGAGGCCGGCCAAGTGCTAATCGCAAACAAAGTAGTTTTTGCTCGACTTCCATTTCGATTTCGTTTTTATGGCTTGGGGCGGCTCTGGCTCTTCGATTGATTCCTTCATGCCTCGGCCAGCACCTCCCCAGAGACCTTCATTTCCGCTTTAACTATTTGTGCGTGGCGTCTAGGCCGTGTAATATTTGTATACCCAACCTCCAGCACCACCACCTCCATCCCCATCTCCGTCTTAAGCCTCCTTCAAATTGAATTTGAGGCCCTCGCCTTTTCAGTTTTTCTTCTGCTGTTCTTATTATTTGCACATGCGTCTTTCCCGTGTGTTTTTGATTTCTTTCAGAGTTTATTCCCATTTTTATTTTGCTGTTCGTGTTTTTAATTTAATTCTTCGTTCTTTTCTTTTGACACACTTGGAAAGTTTTTTTTCATTCTCTACTGTAACTAAGCGCAAGGCCGTCGAAATTTGTGGGCCACGCTCTTCCAGCCAGAAGTCAATCACAAAATCAACATTTGCCATGACCGGAAAAACAGCTGCCATCAGCCCAAAGCGTTTAAGCCATTTAGGCTTTTGTTTAGTTAAAGTCTTCGCCACCAGAGAAAAATGTCTTCGCTGACAGATGAACTCCTCCAATAACAGCTATCCTAATCTTTTTCATGGTAATTCATTTCAGTAAAAGAAATTTATGCATAAGCTGAATAAGATATGCATGATCTACATTAACAAATAGGTAGATCATGCATATCTTATTGTATATTATTATTATATTAGTTAGAAGAAAATCAGAATGCCAATTTTCAGCATAAATGATATACAAATAAATATAAATATTAATATCAAAATGTTAAAAACTATAGAAAATATATTTTTAAAAAGCCAAAAAAATGTATATATGAAATATATTTTATTTTAATATCAGTGCAATAACCTATATAAAATATATTTTCAAAACAAAAGTAAAGTCTAAAAATATATACAAAATATACTTAAAAAAAAATTAAAAAATGGAGAAAAATATTTAAAAATAATTAATCATTCATTGACTTTCTATATTATATATATAAATATTAAATATTTACTTCTTCAAAATATAAAGAACATCTGCAAGACTAAGCAATTGAGGCGACAGTCCATAAAATTATTTACAAACTGAATTTAATTTATAGTAATAATTGGAGAACATGTTTAAATCAGACCAAAACTGCTTCAAGACTTCTTCAAATTTAAAAAAATATTGCTAAAATAATTTGAATAACTGAGGCTTAAAATTGGAGAATATTGTAGATAAAATTCCCAAAAAGTAAATGATAAAAACAAAGCAAAAATCAAAAGTTTTTTGCATTAAAAGCAGCTTGAAAATTTGTTTACAGAAATTAGAGCAAAATATACACAGCTATAGTAGTCACAATTTAAAAATTCACAATTGGAAAATTGTAAAAAATAATTGATCTTGAAGTCAGCAAAATGCACTTCTGAAACTAAACTGTAAACTGTAAACACGCAGGATTCAATTAAACTTTTAGCCAGCCGGCTTTTTGGGCCAAAAAAAAAACCAGAAGTAGAAGGAGAAGGGGAAGAACTCTCGACTTCAATTAACCAACTATAAACAAGCTGCCAACTGGCAAACTGGCAAAAGGTAGTCAGGAGTAAGATCTCTTCCTACCTTGCCCCTTGACGTTGCCGCCGAGCTTACCTCAAAATGCAGTCCGAAAAGGACTTTAACTTTAAGTCGACTGAGTGAAAAGTTTCCTGTTTATATTTTTTGTATTTAGAATTTTTCTTTTACTTTCACTGAGTGCGGCGCTGTTACCACTTGCAACAAATTTTCTTCTTCTTCTTCTGCTTCTATTTAATATTTTTATTCAGCTGAAGATCGAGCACAGGCACGTTGTCAATGTCAAAGCCATTAAGTGTGGCAAGTGGCAAGTGGCAAGCGCGTTTACACTTACAACACGCACACACACACACTCGCCCAACAAGTTGGCTTTTGGGCTAACGCAGCGTATGCGTAACTTTTTGCATTTTGGCGTAAGTTGGCACTGAAATGGAATTTATTTTTGTTCGAACGATTTGTGGCACGCGCGTTTCAGCTAAGCTTGCGGCAGCTGCTGCATGCAACGCGTAACGAACTGACTGAGTGCCAAACAAAGCGCCTTATGCCCTACGAACTTGACTTCAATGGAAAGCCGAAAAAGGCAAATTCCAACAAACTTTTGGTGAGTCGGCGCAGTGCGTTGCACGTGCCACACGCCACACACCACACGAGTGGCGCCAGCAGCTTTCCAGTATCGGCAAGCCAAATGTTTGTTTACATTTTGCACAGCAGCAGCACCAGCACAGGCAGCAGCAGCGGCAGCAGCATGTGGCAAGTGTGTCTGCTTTTGCCCCATCATCAATTTATGTTTTGCCTACTTTCGAGCGAGCTTTGCTAAATGTTTGAAATATGACTTGCAATTGATGCTAGAGGTACGTAGGCAATCGAAATAAAAGTCTACATTAATAGCACTTGCCACATGCCACACACACCCCAGTTGCCTCCCCCTGCCCAGTTTCCCGCCTGACTGCAGCTTTGCAGCAAAATTTGAGCAACAAGCTTGTTAAAAATACGTGCAGAATATTAAACAGATACCAAACACACGCAGGCACACACACACACACACACAAACTGAGTGGAGCTGCTCCTTGCAACATGCAATGCCTCATACATATTTATAGAGTTCTTAGGGCTATGCTTGTCATGAATATTCGCACTAATTTGCTGCCAATTGAATTTTGACTTTTTGCATATTGTTTAGTTCACTCCACTTTTTGGGAACCTGTGTGACTTTTGAACTGGTTCGCAACTCAGCAACTTGCTGAGGCAGCTAATTCAGTTAATTCACTCAGTATAAAGTTTGAAACTGGGCTATGTGAAATAAATAATATTTGTAGTTCATAGATGGCTCATTTGAACTGGTTCGCAAGTAGCAAACAGCTGTTATTAGCTATAAGTTTTGAACATTAAAATCTCTAATTGAGTTATATGAAACAATAAATATTTGTGGTTCATAAATGACTCATTTGAACTGGTTCACAAGTAGCTCAGACAGCTAATTCAGTTTATTTTAGTTCCTAGTTGTAGATTAAGTAATACAAAATAATTCATATTTATTGTTCATATATGGTTCCCTTTAGTAGCTTTTTTGAACTGGTTCGTAACCAGTTCATAGCTCTTAACTTTTGAATATGGTTAATATCGATACATTTTTGAAGCTTGTGACTTTTGAACTAGTTTGCAGCTGGCTCACAGCCTACTTATATCAAGATTTTTACTTTTAGCATTAACTAACACAAAGTTTTAACCCTTCTATTCTTTAATATTTCGACTTTATAGTCAAACATAATTTTGGCATAATCGGAAAAAAGTTCGTTAATTCAGCTCAACTATTGTATTTGTAAATACTTTTACAGTCCATTTTTGGAACTAAGTTGAAAACATTTCTTATTTCTCCATTACTTCTGAAGCTTAATTATGAAAATTTGCTTTTGTTGATTAAAAGTTGCAGAAAATGTTGCGCATTTGAAACGAGCTCAAATTGTTCAACACCTATCACATTACCTAACACACAAAGACTATGCACACCCACACACACACATGCACACATAAGCAGTGGGCATAGCAAATTTTTATTGGGAAAACTTTTTTAATTATCATTAATGAACATGAAGTGCGGCTCTCTGTGGCATGTGCTGACCGTAGCTATAACAACTACAGTAACAACAACAGCAACGACAACTTTCGCATTTGCAATTATTTTAATGTTCAATGATGTTGCAACTTGGCAGCCATCGCCATGATTTATTGCCTGGCAGAGCTCGCCTCAAGTTGCCCGTTCCCAGTTTTGAGTTTGGCTTCAACTGCAACTTCTACTCTGGCTTTGGCTTTGGTTTTGGGTTGTGGGTTTTGGATTCGAGACGCGGGCAGGCACACGCCATTCATTGTGTGAAAGTTGGCAATTAGACAGTCAGTCGCTGAGGGTCACTGGTGGCGCTTAAGAGAACGACAGAGAGGTCACAGGCCAGGCCAGACCAGGCCACGCCACGCCACGCCTGATGGTCCATGAAACAGCATTTATGTGTAATGTCTAATGCATTATAATAACCGGCCAGTAGAAGTATTTAAGTCAAAATTTTATGGGCTTGGCGTGCACAATTTTGTCTTTTCCATATATATACCCTGCATATAGGGGAAAAGGGTATGTGAAAGATACAAGCAGTTCAGGTCAACTCTGAATACTTAAAGGTAGCGCATGTATATCTTCTTGACTGACTAGCCTATGCCCTGTAAGTGGTTAAAAGTAAATGGCCAAAAGTTAAACTAAAATCAAATGGCTTGTTTCCACATCTATCATTGATCTATCAAGAAAGAGCTTGACAACCTATCATTATGGGTCTAGGGTCAAGTATACTCGCGCTAGACTAGGCCAGTTTCGCACCATCCGTAAGCTCGCATTTGTTCAGGGTATTTGCAAGTCGCGCATGCCCCCACTTCCTGCTTTCAAGCACTCATAAAATGTGTTTTAGTAAAAGTAAGCAACTTGCAATTAGTAAACTGATTGAAATTGATTTTTTGTAAGACATAAAACGGATGCATTAAAGGTTTTATTTGATTAGAAGAGCCCAAGTTCAGACTAACGGTAACAGGGCCTGTAAATAATGAAATAGGATAAATAATGCATGTACAGCAATATTTACATGATTTATATGCCAGCCGCAGAAACAATTTGCGGCCCGAACGCCTCGCTCAACTAGGCAACTGGTCGAAATTGTAATGCAACAACACACATTCGATATCATATCAATTTAATATATGTATGATATATATGTGTGCATGTGTGCAGAGGCCTAAGCACGTTTAGATGTACAATCACACGCGTACAGCTTGCCCTATCTATAAAGGCCATACAATTGCGCGCACTTGCCACAAAAACCCCATTTTCCATTTGGATCTTTACAACCCTGGCCTTGTCATGGCAGCGAGAACCCAAAAGCAAAAAAAGGAGGCAAGCAAGCCGCTTCTAGCTGGGCTTGCCAGACTGAGAAATACCCTGATTATGTTATACGAAGTAGGAAGCAGCAGAAACTGTTGACTCTTTAGGTCTTTAGATTAACCAAGTTTCAAAATCGATATTTAGAATATCAGATATCTGAGAATATAGTTCAAATGTGAAGTGGACACATCTCTTATTCTATATGGTCTGCCCTGCCTTTCTCTATCTGCTCTATAGATTGGAACAGAAATTAATCTACCCTCTTGAGCCATTGTCAATGGCTTCCAGGGCATCCAAACAGGCACCCGCCAGCATTTATGACATATGCGCGCGAAGAGAGTGGGCGGGGGAGGTGACGGGGGCGTTGTCAGTTGGGGCGGCATGCCACCCCCAAGGAGCGCCAGTGGCACGCGCTTTCGAGCAGGTTTTTAAGCGCCGAACAGCAACTGAAGCTCCAGCTGCAGGCCAAGTTTTTGCCTTTGATGGAGACGCCACCATTGTTGCCATGTTGCCCCGTCGACTCAGTCGTAGTCGTAGCCACGTAAATGACTGTATCCGTATCCACTGCTACGCAACCGCACACACACATAGACACACGGAGAGCATATACCACCCACACACCTACTCAACATACAAGAACAGAGTATGGGAGGGGCAGATGGGTTGCTTGCACCGCGAAGGTAACCCGTAAAATAGAATACGGTTGGCTGAGGTGAGCTGAGGTGGGAGATGTACGGCAATAGAAGCGAAAATGAAAGCCAAGAATTGCAATAAAACATAAAATTGCTGACTTCCAATTCGTTTGCCATTTGGGTTTCGTTTTCCCTTTTAATACCCATTGGAAATGCCTGAGTGGGGTGTATAGAGGCCAATCTAAACAACTTTCGAAAGAGGTAAATTCATTGATGATGGCAGCCAATAGCTCACCGTACCCCAATATCGACAAGTATCAAGCCAAAGATCAACTGTGCAAGAAGAGTCTAAGGCCTGGAGACTTACAATTTCATTATAAATCTGCAGGCTTTCAAGTGCAGGGCATTAGCTAGTCGAGCGCAACCTACTGAAAACTCTTACTTGTATTTTCTGTTCGTCTGCTTCCTTCGGGTTTTCTTTGAATGTCTGGGACATTGTGCGCCATAAGTGCGTGTGGGTTATGTTGGGGTGCGTGGTGTGCGTGTGTGTGTGTGTGGAGAGATAGAAGCACTCTATATGTGTGCTGTTGTGCGTGCTGCCTGCTGGCTGCTGCCTGCTGGCTGCTGACTGCGTCAGGGCCAAGCTGCGACCGCATTTTTTTTATATTTTATTAGGTTTTATTTGATTTACACTTGTTTTCCGCTTGCGAGCTGCTGTGCGTGTGTAGGAGGCTGGGGGAGGCGTGTCGGGGTGGGCGTAAATGAGTACTTGCTGGCAGTCTGTGAAGCAAGTGCAGCGCTTAGTCATTTCCCTTGCACTGCGACTGGAAAATCACTTGACATGATCTATGCACCGTTCACAAAGTAGAAAAATGAAAACTAAAGATTGAACTCAACTAAGCTGCGCGTAGTGATGGCAATTGGATTATGTGCAAAATGTTCAACTTTATAGATGCGTAACGATATGCATTCGCACGTATTCTCCCCTGATTAAGTGTTGGGCAATGCCAAAGTCAAGTTGCAAGCTTTAATTAAATGAAAGTTACACAGCGGAACATTGCGGAGAGAGCGAACGGGACAGTGTCTGTCTACAGAGTGGAAGAGAGAGGAAGAGGCACACCGGGAGTAAGAGAAAAGAGAGAGATAGTGATATAAATACAGAGAGAAAAAGAGATTGGGAGGCCCAGAAAGAGATGGATAGACAGGAACAGAGAGAGAGGGAGAGACAGAAGTAGATAGAAAGAGCAGCAGAAAATGCGAGTAAGAGTGAGACATAGAGTTCGGCGGATAGCGGTGAGAGCAAAGGAAGAGATTAAGACACAGAGACAAAGATGTACAAACGTGGAAAAGTGGAGAGTTAAACTTAAATATGAGGAAAGAAAG